TAAGGAATTACAGATGTAATAGTCAGGTCAGGTTACCTGAGCTCCAGCTTAACCATAAAACCATCCTTCAGCTGTTTTCTCTACCCTTTGGGGAGTGTATAGGAGCTTGGGTGCCACATTTTCACCACTGGTCTAATGGTCGTGGTGGAGAATTATTAAAAGAGAAGGTGCTGGATGTACCTTCATCAGTATCAAGATGAAGTTCTGGAATGAAGATGTAAATGCTGGATTTGAAAACACAGCGAGATGCACAGGGCAGAGGGATAATGTGCCAGTTTTGCCATGGAGAAACAGAATTGCTTTAGATGATTAAAAAAGCGAGTATGATTAAAACAAGCTGATAAGGTGAAACTAAAGTGACAAGATAAAGCAGCAGGGCATCCAAGAGGGGAAGGGGGAGACGGAACTGATGGCAGGAGGGCATGAATTATTGATTGAAATCTCCACCAGAAGGTAAAGTCTTTGCATTTTCTTATCTGGGAAGGGAGAGAATGAATGAGAAGTGAACAGAATTATTAAGCAGCTTTATCATTGCATTGGAGTGGATAATTAGGCAATTAGGATTACTAGAAGTCGGCAAAGCATGAAGCCCAGAGGACTTGTGCTCCTGATTTCGGAGGGGGGTGGTGAGGAAAGCAGGGGAAAGCCTTTGGCGGGAGATTTGATGTTGTGTTATGGTGAGGCTTAAAGGCAGAGCCTGGCGCTGGCACCCAGTACCCTGCAGCTTCCAGAACAAAGCGGGGTTCAAGAGACCTGACTAATAAAAAGGAACTTATTTGAAGATGGGCAGTCCATGGAACAGCAACAAGAAGTGAGATCATGAGTGAAGGCCACCGATAAGGGTTCAGGGAATGAGAGCACAGGGAGTTGGACTTGATGATCCTTATGGGTCCCTTCCAACTGGAGATACCCTATACTCTATGATTCCAGTAACAGTACATGTGGACCCACTTTTTTCCGTGGTGAGGATGCACAGTAGCCGTGGGAGTTACTGTGTAGAAATGTTTGGTGTGCTTTTTCCAGATCTTTGTCCTCAGTTAACATCCCCTCTCCTTTCAGGTGAGTTGTTTGTAGAGAGACTTTGCAGGGCCGTACGCTGAGGGTGCTGGGAGATCCCTGAGCAGAGCACCAAGAGGACAGACGCTTCCCTGGGAGGAAGGTGTCAGACTGTGGTTTAGACTTGCAGTGAATATAGTCTGTCATGCTACCTTAATTTCATTTTCTTTGGTCAGAAGTGACAAACACTGGATTTTCCCCTGATGTAAATCATGCAAATGCTTCATTGTCAGTGGATCTTTCCAGCCGAACTTGGAGGCAGCTTCCAAACCTCTTCCACTTCGATTCACCATTGTAAACTATATCTGATCACCCCCTTTGTAAAGAGGAGCTCTGCGAAAAACAAATGAGCAGCTTGGGTAAGCTAGCTGAATATCTTCTTGTAGGGGATGCAAAGCTGTAGGACACAGTGGAAAGGAGAGGGATGGGAATACAAGAGCTGTCTCCCACGAGGGTTTGTTTGGATTTATAGCATTGAAGAGTTCAGTGGTGAAAGGAGGTGTTGGGCCATCCAGTGCCATATACCCCAGACCCTCAAATGTCACCTATTGCCCCTCTCCTGAGTCTTCAGCCTGCGCCTGGCAAACCCCAAACTTCAGAAACTTTTTGATCATCGGGCTTTTTGACTGTCCCTTTGGACGAGGTTCCTCCATGGAAGAGCCAGGCAGGCACCGCAGGCTGTTGCTTACCTCTGCAAATTAGCCTAACTTCTTTAGTTGGCACCGTGGCTTTTTAATAGCTGGCTGCACATTTTCAAGGGGAAAGCTGGGTAAAAATGACTAAAAATAGCACGGTGCATCTGTAACTGTCTGAATTCATCCTGGGCTGCTCTGACGCCAATGCCAGATAACCGTGCTCCTGATCCGTGCTCCTGACCTGCTTAATGTTAAGCTATATGTTATTTAAAATTAATTTGCAGAGATGCAGACATTATATAAATCACTGAGGAAATGTCAGATTATGTATGTAATTTTCAGAAGTGCTCCACACTCATCTAACTCGGCTCCCCATGAAACCAAGGGATCAAAATTAAGCTGAAGCAGAGAGTTTGGTCTAGTCACCATCCTTAAAATGCCACGGAAGAAGAGCCAGCACTGCCAACACTTGTTAGTAATTTCACACCCAGAGACTGTTGCCATTTGTTCAGGACATTCAGTGATCAGGGAAGGAACAAAAAAGGGGATAACGAAAAATACATGGGCTAGAGTATTTGTTACTAATTATTTGCTTGGCCTCATTGGCATGTCACCTTGTGTGCTCGGAGAGTGTTGCATTTTCATGAGAAGGTGCCACCCACAATGTCCCTTTTCCAAGACCAAGTTCAGAATATTAATTATGGATAATGATGTGTAATGATGCTGACTTTGGGACCGTTATTTTCCTCTGGCACAGGTCAGAGGCTTTCAGCTTGTGCCTGTGTTAGAGCGTCTCTTGGATAGGCACCCCGTCTGGGAGAAATCATGTTGTGTTGTTTTCCCTGTGGCCTGGGCTGATTCACAGAGGTGTCTGACGTGCTCTACACGGCTGAAAACAAGGTCTGGTTTAATAATAAGCAATTGTATAAATAGCAAATAAAGGTTTGTACTGTAGTGTTTGGGGTCCCAACAGACGTGCTGCTGTCGTTTGGTGGAGCAGAGGGGAATGAAGCCAGAATCTGTGTTTGTTGGAAGTAGTTAGCAGAATATTATTAGATCAGCCCCTGCCTTTAACTTGTCAGAAATACTCTAGAGTTAATTGCTGCTTTAGAGTCACCATTGCTGTTCAGCTGCAATAAAGTGGCTCAACTATTGACGAGATCACCAATCCCATATAATTGTTGTGAAAGACATGTAAAAACAGGCTTTGTGCTTAGCTTGAGTTGGGGCCAACCGAGCATCACAGCGGCTTTCACTGGCTGTGTGCACGCACTGTGCGTGCGCGTGTAGCTGTCTGCTTGTGCACGGAGGACATCGGTCCAAAGCTTCAAAATGTGCACTGTGGTTTTGAAGCTGTGGCTGTTACTGTGTGACTGAGTCACCATCACCACTCCTCCTGGCAGCCTGGAATAAAACACGATAGCATCATTAAACACGAGAGTCATGAGAAGGCTCTTCGGCAAGGATTTGGGGATGAATTCCTTTGGTTTGCAATACTTGTGGTTTTAAGCAGAATTTTCTGGGTGTTTGGTCACTCTCATGCCTGTCAGCAAGGCAATGGTGTAGGGGCTCTCCTTGAAAGTCTATGTTTACACCCAGTGCTTTAGTGTTACACCTAGAAACCCAGCTGAGAAACCTAGCGCATGGCAGCCATGCGTTTCCTTCCTCTCTGGTACTCCCCTGGGAGTGAAACACCAGAAATTCAAGGCACGCAGGCTTGGACTGGCAGAGGATGATGGTGACGGCACCTTCAGCAATTGAGTTTACAATGCCTTAGTCCATGCAGGTCAGGACTAATGGTGGGAAGAGTTGATAAAAGTAGACATCTTGTCGTCTTCTAGTGCTGTGGGTGTCTGAGTATGTCTCCTGGATAACTAAGTTTTTTTCTTAGCTACCTGTCAGAGATAGGCAAGTTTGCATGTACGTTCCTGTGCCTGTTTCATACTTTTTTCACCTCTAGGTAATTTGGGATCCTTCTGTTTGGAAAGTGTTATATTACTAATAGTTAAAAAGGGAGTATTCAAATCACTTTGAACTTGTTAAAATGATGCAGTTTAATTCAGTGATGCTGACGTCTGGGCTGAGTCTTATTAATTCCTAGCTGCTGTGCTTCTCCGTATTGTATCTGAGACGTTAAAAGGCCATTTACTGATGGCCCTGCTGCTGCACCCTCCCCACTCACCGTAAGGCTCTCATTTCAGTTACCCCGAAGGGTGCATGTGCGCGTGCCAACAGGCAGGCTTTAGTACTGCTAATGCAAGCTTTGAAGGAGCTTCTATAAGAAAGCAGGCTTAGAAATAAGGTCTCCCTCCATAAAAGGTGTGTTACATTTAGGATCTAATGCATCCTGGGAGAAATAACCCTCAGAAGGACATTGGTGCATCCAAGACTGCCCTTGCGGCTGTAGCATTGTCCTCCTGGAGAAATGGGGATCCTTGACCAGGGCTTAAAACACAGTTGCAGAACCCTGAAAAAACCCAACATTTAACTGTTTTCTTGCCTCTTACCTATAAGCAGGAATTCGTTAAAACACTAGCGGATCTCTCAAAGCCTGAGCATTTTGTCGTTGGTGCAGTGCAGAAGAATCCAGTTGCCTGTGGAGTTAATAAGTTGTGCACCCGCTGCTAAGCGCTTGCAGTTCTTAGAGATTAGCTGAATATTTCATCCCAAAGTACATGCCATTAAAGACTTTTAATTCTTGGGTATCATATTTCATGGGACTTATATTAACTGTTAGGAAATGAAAGTCTCTGTGATGGCAGTATAAATTTACTTGGTGTAGTAAATTAGTACCTCCAGTGCTATCCCAGTCCTCAGATATTATATGGTGACTTCCCAGAGCAGGCAGTGGCTGCTTCCAGAAAAGCAGGGGAATAAAAGACAGGGAATAATACTTTTTTAGGTATTGTTACAGGCTATGCCAAATAGAGGGAAGAATATTGATGTGGAGGAGGCCAGTGGAAGAGGATAGCCACGCTGTAAGGTTTTCATCCCACTGTGTGTATGAGTAGTGGTGGTTACAAACCCACAACCTGAAATACTGTTTTTCATCTTCCTTTTTTAATCACTCTGAAGATGTGAATTGCACAAGCAAAAGCGAGCTTCTTGCCTGCCAACTCGCTTGAAGAGTTTCTTGTGTTGATCTGCTGCATTTGCTCTTTTTCATGAATGAGGAGAGAGGAAATCTAATGAAAAGTGTTATCAGCTTGTCAAGTTAATTAGTGTCTATTTCAATACTTTCATTATCATTTGTTACTAATTAATATAACATAAGTAACATGATTACAGCTTTTTTGTCTTATTTTTCAGTGAGAAGCTGGATGGAGAAGCTGAAAGATAAGGTAGGAGGCTCAGTGTTTCAATTACTTTAAAAGGACAAACATTTTTACTTGCAGGAATAAATAAACTCTTGTCAGTGCAGTTCATTATCTCTACAAAGACAATTGAGAGAGGGCTTAAAATTTTCTCTGGGAGGCAAATGAACCAGATGCTGCTGTTGTATATAGTGGTGTAAATCCACGGTACATCCCTGATAAGTAGTAACTAAGAGCAGAAGGATGGACAGGGGTATTTGATAGACTTATCTGCACTAGAAAATCACCTTCTCTTCAGAGTACCCGAGTTACTTTTTTATATTGCCCTCTAACTTACCTCCACCCCTTTACTCTAAATCCTAAGCTTGGTTCTAGATCCAAGTCAAGAGGATCTGGTGGTCCTCTCTGGCGAGAGCCTGTGTGCCACACCACCAGCTCTGGATGATACCTTTCCGGCTTCCACATGCAAGAAGAGGTGCAAATTCCTGGAAGGAAAAAGAGCAAACCCAGGAAGACTGAAAACATAACAGACCCTGATCTTTTCTGCCTGGCGTTACAGGGTGGTGGTACACGAAATCAAGAGTTGTGCCAGCCACACGCACTGATAGCTTTTCATGCGCTGCTGCCCTAGGGCAAATATTAACATTTTGAAATGGTTGTGAAACCTTCCAAATGTTGTGTTGATGACAGCAAAGCCATGAAGCTAGATATAAGGTGACAGTAGTGTTTTTAAGACAAGAATATTTTGTGACTCAACCGGGCTTGGAAATTCTTGAACAGGATCAGGGTTGGTATAGAAGAAACCCACCACAAGGAATGATGACTCGATAGGAAACTCCAGCCCCTGAAAATACATCTCTAAGCTTGAGCAGATTGTCACTGAATGAGCCCAGCCTTCCCACATGATCCCCACCAAATTTCAGCAGCACCTTACCATCAAGTCTGAAGAGAGCGACGGGGTCTGGGTATCTGTTTTCCAGGACTGGGGAGTGGAAGGGTTAAGGTGGGTTCCTACCCAGCCCTCGTTGAGTTGGTTTTCTGCCTACAATAGGAAGGAGGCATGTCTAGTGTGATCTATGCTCATAGCAGAGCACCTTGGCCTGGGATTCAGCCAGAGCGGATGCTGAAAGGACAGAGAATGGTTTTCCTGACGAAGGTAAAAAGCAGACACCAAGACTGGTTGAGTGCCTGGAGTGAATGTAGCATGCAAGGGTCACCTGCTCGTGACAGACCTACCCCAGCCAGCATCACACAAGCTCGGGGGCATCAGGTGTCTTCTCACTGAAGCCGTAGCTTTCACTTCTTTCCTCTTAGCACCTTGTTGGCTACCTCTGTCCTTCCCCATTGTAGAGGAGAGGGTGCATGGTCCAGTCTCCAAGAGAATTGCTCTGTAGGGCCTGAACCTCTTGCAGTAGGTGTTGGACTGCATGGCAGTGCCCAGCACAAGCATTGGTGTAACTGGGGATCTGCTAGTGTCCACTTAAAAGAGAGACTCAGCCCTGGGCCACCTCCATCTTTTGGGGAACGGCAGATGTGTGGAGGCAGATCTTTCACCACCATGCTCACATTTTCCCTTAGAAAAGCCCAACAAAAACCACTCCCCCACTGCCAACCAAATGCTGGTGAAGCAAATCACTCCCAAGTAAACCTGCTCACCCCGTTGCCTCCTCTTGCTTGTTGAGTTTATCAACACCCGTCATAATACATGCCCCTCTCATTTACTGTTGGCAGAGCCTTATCCTCTCTATTTTCCAGTCCCACCATCCAAAAGAGTATGCTAGCACGTGATGGCCCCGTCCCTGAGAGATGTGTCCTCCTGTGTCCATCAGGGCTGCCCTGCCCTGATGGGAAGGGTGTGGGGAGTGTGGGACCAGGAGCACGGGTCAGTGACAGATTTATGTCTGGTCTCCTGCAAACATTGTGCAAACATTGCATTTGGTATGCCGAATAATGGACATGAGGTTCCTCTGAAGTCCTCTGTTGCTGTTACCTCAAAGTCCAGTGGAGCCAGGAAGGTCATGGTCATGGATTGGGTGTATTAAAAGCATCCCTAGCATCTGTGAAGAAGCTGCATCTTCCCCATGGGCAAGGGATAAAGTGGCTTCAGAGGTGCCTGTGAAATGCGGTAGCCTACCAGGCAAGTGCAGAAGCCCTCATGAGTTGGGCTGTGCGACACAGAAGGGCTGGGAGAACAGGTCCTGGATCTGCTTCACATTGCAGGCTTTTGGGGTAGAAATTGTTGGTTCATCTGTTGGGGGAAGCCTGAAAAAGGGCATGGGCTGGCCACACGTGATAAAGGCTCACGGACAGGCTAGAGAGTTCACGTATTAAAACCAGTGGTTACTGATACAGAAACTCAGCTGGGCAGCAGCTAAAAAGCCATTTCCAGTCTCCCCTCACTGCCCATGCCAGCAGCAAAGTTCCAGAAATAGAAAAACCCATGCTGCACTAATTAGGTCACCTAGTTAAGGCACCTTAATTGCCTCGCAGAGATAGTCTTTTGGCTGTGCTCTCACTAACCTCCTTTTTTGGGAACTGGGGTGCCGGCATGCAGCCCCCTTCCAAGCGCATGTGCTGAGCGGGGCTGGGCTTTCTGGGAGGGCGTTCAGGGAACCTGCACGATGCAGCTGAAGATCCCTCAAGCCTTGGGATCCAGGCACAAAGTTGTTACTATTTAAAGCACCGAGCAGGATCCAGAGGGGTTTGGGAGAGCGAAACAGCCCTTGTGAGCGCTGTATCTGCCCTAGATGAAAGCAATTATTTTCATTCTCCAGGTAAGCGTTCAAAGCCAGGGCAGTGCACACTGAATAGCTTTTTTTTTTCCCCCACTTAGTGGTTTATGGAAGGAAAGCAATTACAGTGTAAGCGTGTGTTGTAAGTTGTGTTGCAGTTTGGGAATGCAGATGAAGATGAGTGGTTGTAAGCAATGGACTGAGGCTTGCTAAGAGGCGTCTGATTCTGCATGTGTCCCTTGGCAGGTGTAAAACCCATTTTGGGGGGTGTAGATGTTGAAGGGTAAAGCTGTAGTGCCACAGCAGAGGACTCTGTTGCTGCAGTGTGAGCAAAGGCAGCGCTAATGAGGGAGGGAGCCAGGCTGCGCCTGCCTCCCTTACTCCATCGAGACCCCCAGCCTCAATTAGGTGAGGACGCTGAAGCAATTTGGCACTTTAAAACTTGGGTTAATTTTCATTTCAAACAGTGAAATATAAAATAAGAAGCACTTGGGAATATTTTCCAAAGGAGTTTAAATGTTTAAATGTGTAATTTTAAATTAGTCATGCTATCTATATTTTTTTAATGGGCAATGCACACATATGGGTCATAGCAATTGAATTAGAGCTGATTTACATTTGCTGTGCTTCCCTTAAGGCCAACTGAAGGTGTGCATGCCCTGTCTCTATGTCATTGTCCTGCTCATGCAGGTGACCCCTTCCCGTGCAAAGCAAAAGCATTTGGTTCAAAGATTTTGAGTACAAAGTCGAGGAGGCTCAGGCTGGGCTGGGCAGGGAGAGGACAAACTGGTTCTTCTCCCTGCGAGGTGTGAGCACAGGCTGGCTTTGCACTTCAGCTCCCTCAGAGACCCAGCTGTGGGTGCTGAGGGCAGCTTCTGCTGTCCCCGTGCTGAGATATGGCACTAGGGTCCTGGGGGACTTGCTTTCCCATGCCAATGTGTCTCTGGGAAGCATGGGAGCTGTGTAATACTCTTTACTGGAGGTATATTTAGCAGTTTGGCCATGGTAAGACACACTCCAGCAATCAGAGCTGGCCAGGAGGATGCTGGGTCCCTTTGCCATCCACTTCCCACGACGGAGGTCAGCATCCCTGCTTCGCAGCGCAGCCTTTCTCCAAAAACAGCTCCTCGCCCATTCTGCCGGCTCCCTGCCTGGTGCCTGCTGTCTCGCCTGGTGGCTCTTACACACTGGCTCCTCTGCCTGCACCGTGCTCTCCTCTGCCTGCTCCTGCCGCCCCGAGGGCTGCGGGACGCTGCGGAGAGCTGTGGGCAGCGCGGTGCCGTGGCACTCGTCACCGCACCACTCAGTGCCGTGCTGCTAGTCCGGATAACGGCAACTCTCGACTCTCCAGCTTGAGCTCTGTTGACCATGGCTAGACGTATACTCGTGCCTTGATTTATGCTGGCGGTACCTGGGGAGCGCAGAGCAGCACTCAGCCTACTTTACACAGCGTGTAGTGAAGCTGTTTGGGTGGCCACAGGTCTTTGTTGTGGCTCGAGATTGCCTGCCCTTGGCAGTCGAGGTTTTCCTTCACAAGTGTACCCGTATTAACAGACTCTTCAGCCCAGCACTTGCAACTCTGCACCGAAATTGTGTCCTCTCCTAAAGGCAGGCAAACACTGCAGTGTCTCAGCTATCACAAGGCAATATCTGTTAGCAAAAGGTGACGGTGAGTGAGCCGTGGAGGTTACCAGCTTGGTCCTGGAGTGGGGCTGGCTGGGGGCTTGTTTAGCGATCCTGGAAGCAGGGCTTATCCTATGCAGGTGAGTGACAGGGACTCAAAACCAATAAACTTTGACGAAAGCGGCGTAGGGATATGTTGTAGTCCTAGACTGGTGGAAGATGACTCTGAAAGGATGGTTTTTTGAGTGCTGCTCTGCTTCTCTCTTTTCCACATAGGCAGGATACATGTCGGGGATGCTGGTTCCTGTAGGAGTCGGAATAGCCGGAGCCCTTTTTATCCTAGGAGCACTCTACAGCATTAAGATTATGAATCGCCGAAGGAGAAATGGCTCAAAGAGACATAAAAGAAAGGTATGGCAACTGTGAAGGAAAAAAACCCATCTGTTCCCACCCACTCTCCTGTTACCCATTTTGGTTGCAAAGCGAGCGCAGCCTGGTTATGGTTATGGTTTGTCTGGGTTGAGGTGCCCGGGACCTCTCAGTTCGAATATGGGGGGGATCCAAATGCTCAACATTTCCTTTTTGCATGTGGAGGTCTTTCATGTTTCTTTTCTTCCCCTAGCAGAGGGAATTTAACAGCATGCAAGACCGAGTCATGCTCTTAGCTGACAGCTCTGAAGATGAATTTTGAATCGAACTGCAGTGCCCTTGTGATAGCCCATGACTTTTAAAAGGAGGGAGGGGGAGAAAAAGAACAAGTGACTTTCTGCTGCATCGCTGCTCTCCGCCGCCCCGAGCCACCGAGCAGTGGTCGGTACCACCCCGGCGAAACGGCATGCTGTGCTCTACGTGTACCACGCAGTGATGTTTGTTTTGATACAGTAGTGAGATTTCACATTTGTACCCGGCGCCTCATTCAGATCCACAGCGCATCTTGTTACAGCTGGAGCTGATGCATATGGATGATTATTTTCCTATTATCCTGCTGTACTGTTTTGGTCCTGGCTGGCAGTAATCTAATCATAACGATAGCTCTCACCTAACCCGGGAATGGAAATCTTTACTGTGAATGACTTCTGTCCAATTTGTTAATTTTAAATGTTACATTACCTGAGCTAAAGTTCATTAGTGCTAATATTAGCTGCTCTGCTTAATTAATGAGTTATACACTTGAACTGTATCCCTTGCCACCTGAGAAGTGCCCAAGTACAGTGTTGTTGATACAGTTTGAAGCACATTTCTGCACTTGGTTCCCCAACTCTCACCCCCTCTTTCTTCCTTCGGCTCTGCTCCACACTTCTTGGAGACACACAGGAATGGCCTCCACACTTGATTCACAACAAAAATCGTAGTCCATTTTCAACCAGCACTGTCTGTTACAGCACAATAAATACCAGCGCTCACCTACTGATGGATAGTCTTGCATGGATCTCTTAGCTTTTGTTCAGTGTGCAAGTCGGTAAGAGAAGAGGCAGGTCAGGGGTTTCTTCAGCTTCTGCCTCCTGTTTGAAGGACAGTAGTTATTGGCTTATCTGTTTCACAAGGCGGCATTCACATAGAGATGAAAGCAGAGCATCTGTCTCCTTTACCCACTGGAAATTGCATTTTCGGCCCCTGAAAGCTGCATGAATGGCAGCAGCTTTGGGGCATCTGGATGGGTCTTGTCTCCAGACCGACGAATGCAGAAAGGCACCAAAGTTTGCGGAGCAGGTGGCTGTTGGTGTCGAGAGATTTATGGCGAATAGTTGGAAAGCAGCGGCAGGAGCAGCTGGAGAGATGTCTGCTATGGAGAGGTGAAATGGTCACACTGGGGAGCCCTTGGCCATGGGGGAGAAGGTGAAGCTGTAGGACAGATGGCCGCAGGGGGTTGTGGAGGTGAAGACCAAGGGTGGCACGGGGCGAGGGCAAGCTGCCATGCTGCCTGGGCTGCTAGGACTGGGTTGCAGAGGGAGATAGCCAGGGTCTGAGATGTTACTGGAACCGAGCAGGGGAAACTAATGTTGCTTTGCACAGAAATGCTGTCAAAATAGCTAGAAAAAGGGCTGCGTTACTTTATCTCTGTATCTGGTTGTGAAATGACTTCAATCTGACATTTATGCAAAACATTCATGTTTCTGAGGTGAGAATCACTGTTCTGTGGGGAGTCATCCTTCGTACAAGGAACACTGTTGCTGGCGGAGACCTGATTAGACAAATAAAGCCAGACCACACATCTACTGAGATTAAATCCCACTGAGTCTTCAAAGAAGTCAGAAGAGAGTTTGAGGAGGGGCAGTTGCAGGATTTCATTCCTTGTAAAGGTGAAAAGGCCGGTCAGATTGTGAAGGGTAGATGTAGAAGATGGTAAGCAAATGTCTCATGGGCATGTGAGTGTGTTTGCAAGGCAGGACATTCAGAAGACCTGCCTGAAGCTCAGTTCTCTCTTGAGAGGGTCAGGGCCTCCTCTGGACATTAAGTCATCAGACGTGATGTTCAGCTCCAAACAAGCAGTGCTCTTCAGAGCCCAAGTACGTTCCTGTAGGCCTTACCCACACATCTACTGAGTCACCTGGAGAAGGACAGGCGGGACAATGTGTATTCAAAATGCTGCTACTGATGCTAGTCTTTCAGTCGGAGAGCTGTACGTGGTCCCTCACGCATTCATCCCGCTGAGTGCCTGGGAAGCAGGTTGGGGGAGGCACAGTAAAACACGGTCCATCAACATGTTAGGGAGTCTTCATACCCCAGTCCCTCTAGGACAGGCTTTCCCAGCCAGGGCTCCACAGTGCTTGCATCTCTCCCTTTTTGTTCCTGAAACTTTGACCAGGAGAATTTTGCTTTGCGAAAAACAGCCCCTTGTCTTTAACTGGCACTGACTGGCAGCCCACTGTTAAGTCCAGGTGCCCCCTATCCAAAATTAAAGCCTCCTTCTTCCATAACAAATGATTAGTCCAAGCTAAGAACAACTTTTCCTTCTGGACTGATCTCTCCCTATTTCCTTCTCATTCCTAAGTCTCTTGGAGCTTGGAGGTCATCGGGAGGTGTTAACAGTCCAGTTGAGCATTGCTGGCTGTCTTGCAGTTTTGGGAATCAGGAAATATTGTCCCTTGGGCTCTTTGGTGATTTGTTCCTGGCAAGGCTTGATGAGGGTCACAAGGTGGAATGACTTCTCCTCCGTTCCAGTTTGCTTGAGATCATCTCCAGAAAGGCTTGTCTTTTAAGTACAGCAACAGGCAGGCTGGGAACAAGACTACATAGGCAGCTGCAAGATGTTCTTGAAATGCTTTACCCTGGGAGCCAGGGAGGCATGGAGAATAAGCAGTGACAAAGGGCATTGGCCTCTCTGCAAGAGGGAGTCTGTCTTGGAGCGGAAAGGACGGTAGCTGGGCTGGCTGAGTCCTTTGCATGCAACTGTAGCCTGAAAGAGAGACCCAAGGTAACACTGGAAAAGAGGAGCTGCCAGCGATACTGCAGAACAGAGCAGATGTACCAGCAAGACCCAAACAGCTGGGGATCAGCAGGGTTTTGTGCAATAACAGCCTGCGAAGGACAGGCTCCTCTTGCTTTCGTCTTAATGGTATTGTGCCTGCGCAGTGTGCGATAATGGCACAAGTTGTGTTAAGTAACCGATAAAATGCCGAGCTCCTGGCTGGTCGGGAGGAGGAGGAGGGATGGATGAGCGAGGCTGCTGGTCTGAGCGTAAGTACCTCAGCTCCGGCAGTGCAGGAAGAGCTTTATGGATAGGTTATCAATTTGATGGATTGGAAAGGCTGGTGAGGAGGTGCTGTGGCCTTCCATTATGCTAATAAATCCACAGTCTGGGATACACTGACTTTACAGTAGCAATCAGTTTCACAGTCTCTCTTCTTCTCCCTCCCCAACATAATGAACTTAAGAAATTAAAGGCAACGCTGCCAGTCAGAATGACGAAGGCACTGTTTTAGTGCATCAGCTGTGTGCCCTAATGTCCTCAAGAACCAGGCTTCACTTGGCCAGGACATGGAGTGGGTGGCTGGGATGCTGGAAATCAACGGTGCCATAAGTGGGGCTGACAAATGGTTGCAAATATTGGAGCTGTTATATGACAAGTATGGTGGGACAAACTGAGCAAGCAGGAGAGTTGTAGCCAAAAGGGAGGTCCAGCTGAATGCACAGTTCAGTGTTGGCTCTCTAGTCTGTGCTGGAGCCAGACGTGGGCTAGAAGGGCTGCCCAAAGATTTTGCTTGTGGTCCAGCTTCACTCCCAGGCCTGTCTCTGGCTCTGAACACCACCAACCAAGGTGCCTTGGTTGGGAGCTGCTGGTTGGCAGAAGACTGCTGTTGGCCAACTTTCTGAGCCACTCAGCAGGGCAGAGAGATCCCAGCTGATGTCCATTTGAAGTGGAGGTGTTTGTTGAATAGCTGGTTTTGGATAGCACCTGCCCCAGAGCCTGGAGGCTCCCCATGTCTTCAGTTTAGTTCTTAGTGTGGAGGCAAGAGGGAGCCAAAACCAGCCTTGGGTCCCAGTGAAGGCTGTTGGAGCCTTTGGAGCACAGACAGTGCTTCCCAAGCACAAATACAGGGTGGAGAATGGACTGAGAGCAGCCCTGAGGAGAAGGACTTGAGGGTGTTGGTTGATGAGAAACTCAGCATGACCCGGCAATGTGCACCTGCAGCCCAGAAAGCCAACCATGTCCTGGGCTGCATCAAAAGAAGCACGACCAGCAGGTCAAGGGAGGTCATTCTCCCCCTCTACTCTGCTCTCATGAGGCCTCACCTGGAGTACTGCATTCAGCTCTGGGGCCCCCAACATAAGAAGGACATGGACCTGTTGGAGTGAGTCCAGAGGAGGGCCATGAAGATGATCAGAGGGCTGGAGCACCTCTCCTGTGAAGACAGGCTGAGAGAGTTGGGCTTGTTCAGCCTGGAGAAGAGAAGGCTCCAGGGAGACCACATTGCAGCCTTGCAGCACCTGAAGGGGGCCTACAAGAAAGCTGCAGATGGACTTTTTACAAGGGAATATAGTGATGGGACAAAGGGTAATGGCTTTAAATTGAAAGAGGGTAGATTTAGATTAGATATAAGGCAGAAATTCTTCACCATGAGGGCGGTGAGGCAGTGGAACAGGTTGCCCAGAGAAGCTGTGGATGCC